ATAGGGGGCAGAATAGTTTGAAGGGTGGGGGTTGTATTTGCTGGTGTAGGGGCCGGATCACTATGATCGGGTTGATGTGGCACCTGAATCGTGCAAGATGGGCCAACAATGGTGCTTGAGGCAGGAGGCTCAGCTGTTGGCTCACACGTTGTCTTTGCCAGTATCCTGTACTGCTGAAGGTGCCATTTGGATGTCCACATGATCCATAGCAGGGGTACTCGACGTGATGTCTGGATCGGTGAAGTCATTTTACTACTGGAATGGATGGAATGGGCATCCGGATTGGGTCTTCCGACTGCAACGTCCAACTCCACCCCCATCGACAATACCAGTGGGCTTGGCTAGTACAGAATCTTCAGGATCGAATGGGTGTAGAGTTCTCTCTGCATCATCGGTTGCCCCTTCATGTATCGGCTCGCCTGCATGAACTACAACATCATCCTTTCCACATTCGGCACCTCCGTGTTCATGGTCATCAACATCCTCATCATGCTCGGGGATATCATCGGATACCAATGGACAGGTGGACTGTATCTGACGGAGAGATACCAATGTTGACCTCGTATCTATCGATCCGCAATAGCAACAACGTATTAGTACTTGGACCGAATGAAGACATATAGTATACTAAGTTATAGAAAAAACTACCCGGCACAATCTTTGAAGCATTACTTTCATTTCACTTAAGTCTGACTTGACCTCCGTCATGTCCGTCTTCACCTCCACCATGTCCCAAGCTAAAAGATCCAACCTTGTCTCCGTAACCTCAAATCTATCATTCGATCCACGGGTGTCGTCCCATTGTGTAGGGTAAGCATCGCGTGGCGTCGATCTATGTGTTTGTCGCGTGCTTTGCCCCACATTAGAACGAATATAAGTATTTCATACTTCAATTGTTGTCAATTGCCGAGCTTTGAACGTGGCCTCTGTACGTGGCATGTCCGAAGACTCCTCCACCACCGCTTGTACAGTCGGTTCCAACAAGTGCGCCGCGTCGAGCGGGAGATCGTCTTGGGCTACAATATTCTTAGTGATGGGGGAAGAATGTTGTCCATCATCACTGTTGGAAGTAGAACCCCTAGGCGCACCTAAGTCAACCACCTCTCTTTCATCCAATGGACACCTCTGGTAGTCCTTCTCCGACTCCATCTACACGAGTGGATAAGATTTGACCAACTGTACGTACATTAGAAGAACAAATGTGTGAATACAATTCAATAGAACTACACAATAGTAAATATATTCTAGATCGCTTACCACCGCAGAATTAAGCACCTCCTCCCCCAAATCTTTTGTAGCGACTCTACTACACGAATATCAAAATATCCAGGGAATCACGATCTCACTCAACCGATTAACACTAGGAGTAATGAGAGATGGGACGACCTCATATATCCACACCTGAATATAAAATAGAAGTTCAATCTCACCCTTCAAAACGTTCTAACCAACAAACAGAAACTAGTATGCATACGTACTAATTACCTGAAATGCAAGAGGAAATCCCGCTAGGCTATACTTCACTTGATATTTTTTGTTCGTCCTCACTTGAGAGATGGAGCGAACGGATTTCAACTACGTGGCCTATAAGAATTATTGGGAATGACAAAGTGTATTGACAAAAGGTAAAATAAATATCTCTTTTATCGTTTTGAAAAAAAAGATTTTATTTCCTTTTAATTATTTGAACGTTACAAAATCAATTATTTAACATTTTAATAATTAATTAATTGTGTTTTGTACGTTTTAATTAATAAAGTTAAAACGTTTTTCTTTTCTCTTTTTAAACGAAATCAAG